AAGAAAGAAAAATACAGTATCTTTTGGGGAATATGAGATCCTTCTCCTCTGTCTCAGGAATAAACCTTCAACCATAACGAATAGCAAACTGATCTTCTCCAGCCTGCTATTTCTGCACAATTGGCCACATTGTCCAGTACTGCTGTGCCGTGAACCTCTGATAATTCAGCAGAAAAGTGTGTGGTGATCAATTTTCAATGTCTGCCCCAGGCGCAGGATGAAGGAGTAATGCACGAGTGCTATGCGGTAGCCTCTCTAACCTGCATCACAACGAGCACCAGCTTAGGAGCAGAAGCAGAAGGAAAACATATTTGTTTTGGTGTAGTCACTGTTGGCCTGATAAAGAACTCAGTGTCAGGATGCGCAGGAAGCCTGATTGTCCTCCTGCTAGGTCATCTATCTGGATCTGGATCTTCTCTGCCCTTACCCCTTTGCCTTTCTTGAGGTAAAGATAATGTTACTCCAGTTTCTTCCATTTTCCAACCCTGTAATCTCCTGTAAAGCATACGAACTTTAGAAAACAGGGTTCTTTCTCAAGCCAAACATTTACCAGCACAAACATTGATTTCCCAGAAGGCCACATGAGGACTTGTGAGATCATGTTTGGCTCCTGCTCAAAGGAAAGATGTTCTGTGAATGCAGCAGCCTGGGACCAGCCCTGGGAAGAATTCCCAGGAGGGGCAAGGCAGTTGCTTGTGAAGCTTGGCACCGGCTCAGCACCATTGTCATGTGAGAGAACAAAGGCTGTGAGCTTTAGAAGTTTGGGACAGTAAGGAGGAGACATCCTCTCTCCATTTACCTGTCTTCCCTCTCCAGCTGAAGTGCCTCCCACTCTTCCTGCTTTGCTAAAGAGACTGAACCCTGTCTGAAGTGTTGGGAAATGCCTAGAGAGATCTTCCAGAGCATTCTGAGCCTTCCAGAGTATGGCAGAATACAGGGCTGCCACCAGGGCAGAGAACTTCAGCACCTGGCAGAGAGTCCAGGCCTATAGTGAGTGTGCGTGGAAGCCGTGCATCCACGAGTACATGGCTTCCCCCAGGCATTTCAGATTTTGAATCTTGGGACCAAGAGTAGGCTGAGCTAGAGATGACCAGGCGCTGCCTGTGCTAGCCCTGGCTCTGGGCCTAAGCAGATGCTTTGCACATGCCTGCCTTACTTGCCCAATTTTTGTTGACTTTAGGAATTAAGCAGCTTAGGCCAAGCCCAGTTGATGTTTTCAAATTTTCCTGTAAACAAAAAAAATTGCAGCTTATATAACATCTCTGGCTGGAGAGTTTGCTTTGCCTGGCTTGACTGAGCAGCTGGGAGGAGCTCAGGAAGCAGCCTGTCCAGAGAGGCTCCGGATGACCCAAGGGCCTTGGTTGTCCCTGACTCATCACAGGACCACCCTCTCAAGCCCGCTTTTTCTATATCTTCTGCAAACTTTCTACCAACCGAAAGACATCTGGAGCCTATTTCAGATTAAGGTGTCAAGTTCGGGAGGAAGTATCTGAAACAAAAATCTCTCACATCCATCCTCTCTGGCAAGGTGTCAAGAGCTTTTCGTGAATGATCTTATTCGATCCCCACATCACCGCTAAGAGTTAAGCATGCATAGTGTAATCAATTTGTAGAACAAGACATGGGCTCCGAGTTGCTGAGCCATGCACTAGACCTTACTCACCGCGCTGGATGTGAGAATGGGCTCCAGCATCATTCCCCATTTTTGTTCACAGCTCTCTGCGCATCAATGGTCAGAAAGCTAAAACCCACATTTCTCATACTCCCTTAAAGCCAAGGTTCTAGGTAAGAGTTAAGTTCTGCTCTTTAGAGGCACTTTTGTGAGACTTGTCTTCTCTGAGCGAATAAGGAATGGAGATGCTCTGGTCTGAATGTGGGGATCCCTTTATCCAGTCACCTCTTTTGTTGGAGTCAAAAGGAAATTAAGATGATGGTGTCCGATTCCCAGTCCCAGTTTATTGATCTTTGGGTAGTGAGTTCTTGCACTTCAGAGTTCTGGATGAACTCTGGTGGGTAGTACTGGTACAACCCAGGAACTATTCTTGGATGCCCAGCCTAGAACCTGCTGTGCCAGCCCTTCCAATGATTTTGCAGAGAGCTAAATTCCTTTTATTGAATCTCTTTCTGCTGAAAATACCTAGAGTGGTTTCTGCTCCCTTGGTGGAGCCAAGAGAACCTCAGAAGCAGAGCTGGAGATCCATGTCTAAGAACTGGCATCTACCCTCCCTCCAGACTTCTGGAGCATGAGGGAGCTGATATAGTCATAGAGCAGAAAAGAAGCACAGTTGGGAATAATGTAGGGTCTCCTAACTACAAATACCCACTGCCAGCTCTCCCATTGGATCAGAGTAAAGAGCTTGGGGGAGGTCTGAGAAAGGAGCCAGAATCAGGAGGCCTCAGAGGATACCTCCTGAGCCTGCAGGATTGGGGAAGAGGAGTCTTGGAGGGAGGACCCCCTGGGGAGCATGAGCAGAACTCTCAGAAGAAAAGTGAGCACTGTTCGGAGGACAGCAGCATAAGGAATGGGCCAAGAGGCAAGAGGAGGGGAGCAGGATACCAGTTCAGGGGAGACAGGAGATAAGAGGCAACATGTTGGCAACATGGTTGATTCCCTCCATCAGTTAAGATTCTTTCAAATGTAAATAACCTGAAAACACTTCAAAATACCTTTTTTTTTAAAAAAAATTCAAAGATAAGGCAGTTTCAGAGCTCAGTTCTATCTTCAAAGAGCTTTGTTGTCTCCATATCTCTATCATATTATTCCCAGTTAGATCTGCTTAACCTTGGAGGTGCTGTCCTCATTGGCATAAAATGGCTGTACTATTCCAACTGTCACATCCAGACATGCCAATTCCAGTAGAAGAGGCACCATGTTTTCTTATGTTTCTATTTTCATCAGATGCAATGGTCTAAATGTTTGTGCAGCCCCTGAAATCCATATTTTGAAGTCCTACCCCCTGATGATGATACTCAAAGGTAAGGATCTTTGTGAGATGATTGGTGTTTTCATAAAAAAACACAAACCCAAGAGAGACCCTCTCACCCCTTCTGCCACATGAGGACCCAGCAAGAAGGTGCTGTCAATGTACTGTCAGGAAGAGAGCTGTCACCAGCATACAAATCTGTCAGCACCTTGATCTTGGATATCCCAGACATCAGAATTGTGAGAAATAAATTCCTGTTGTTTATAAGCAACTGGTATAGAGAATCAGATGTAACTGTGTTACTATTACTGTCCTTGATGGAGTCTGCCTGCAATCGGGATATTCTGTCAAGATATAGATAGTAACAGCGGACATGCTTGAAAACGAGGTGTCTGCTGTCCTTGGGAGGGCCTACTTGCAAACGAGAGGCTCCTTCAAGGTTTAGATATGGTAACAGCGGACATGCTTGAAAATGAGGTGTCTGCTGTCCTTGGGAGGACTTGCCTGCAAACAGGATGTTCTGCCAAGTGGGCTAAGAGGGCACTGAGAAAAATTTTATTATCTGTGGTTAACAAAGAGCAGAGCTCAACATACTCCGAGCCGAGAATAGATTAGCCATGAGAAGCGGGTCACTTCTGATTAGAAAGTAAAACTTCTGTATGCTATGTTTAATTAGCTGAAAGACCTGATTTATTGATGTTGGAAGGCTGCCTTCTTTGTTCACAATACTATAAAAAGATTGCTTGTACACAATAAAGGACTTTTTTTCTGCTGCTGCTTTGCTTGCTCTGCTTCTTCTTTTTCTTTCTTTTCCCATGCTGACCTGCAAGTGAATTACTGCAACAACTGGAATGGATTAAAAAATTGGAGGAAGGAATCTTTTCAGACTAATCCACTACTCAAGGTGGTAGGGATTGAGACTGAAGGAAAAAGGCAGACAGATCCAGGATTGCACAAAGTGTGCAATTTACTGGGCACTTACAGACAGAAGTGCATCTTGGGCAGAAACAAGTCAGGTGAGTCCCTGCACCCCAAGGGAGGAGGAAGGGTTTAAGAGGTGCAAAAGTTGGTCACAGCCAATCAGAATGTACCTGGTCTTTCTTAAAACCTATTAACATATTTAATGCCTGTTAAGAAACAGTCTGGGCATCAGTGGCTGATGGGCACAGCACACTCAGCCAACTATCTTAATGATATTTTTGCTTTGTAGGGAAAATCCATGATCACCTGGTCTGTAAAATGGTGGTTATGACCAAGATGGCTGTAGTCATGTCAAGCTAATCTCCTACAGAAGTTTTTCCAGAATGCCTCAGTGGACACCATAGCTGGGTCATGCGCTCATTTTAATTCATGAGTGGCTGGAAAGCACACTGAATTACTGACTCATACCAATCGTGGCAGCAGGTTAGAGTCACTTGAAGAATAAAAACCTCAGGATCCTAGGCATCATCGTTGTTAAAGAAAAATTCTCAAAACCGAGTTCTGTTAGCAAAGAGGAAGGAAGAATGGATTTGGCATTGACAACACTGATATCTGTCACACGCAGCTTGTCCAGACAGTCAATCCAAGCCTGTCACATTGACTCCAAAAAAATTCTGAGAAATAAAAGGATTCGGGAGAAGAGGCTACCCTGCTGTCACCCAAGGATAGTGCTGGCCCCAAGAGAAACGGAGCCGAGAAAATCGCAGAAGCAGAGCAGGAGACCTGGGTCCAAGACTGGCCTCCACATTCCCTCCAGACTTCTGGGGTGTGAGGGGACACACGCTCTCATTGTTTAACCTTTTGGAATCTGGATTTTCTGTTATTTCCAGCCTGTCCTGAGGCGTGATGATTGGGATCCCTGAGGACTCCAGTGTGGGCACAGAGAGATGACCGGGAACTGAAGTGGGCCCTGGTGGTGGTGCGCAGAACTCTAGATGTGGGCCTCCCTATTCAGAGGAGATGGTGCGGGGATGACCTGGGGTAACTGTAATGGGCAGTGAAGAGGCCAAGGTCATTTCAGGTGCATGGGTCACCTCCTCTACTGGTCATCACCATGCCAGCAGATTATTCTCTGCACAGTGTTAGGGTCTGGCAAACGTCGGAGGAAGAAACCACCAAGAGACTTGTCTCATGCAAAAGCAAAGGGTTTATTGTGTGTGGGGGGGCGGGAACCAGCATGCTGGGGCCCAGAGTTCTCCTGAGAGAAACTGGAGCCCTGAGTACAGCTTAAGCAGAGTTTTTATACAGTGTTTAAACAGGGAAGTTCATATGGCAGTTAGGGTGCCAGAGTGCGATTGTTACAAAATAACCATTACAGAATAATCATGCGTTTTGTCAGGGGGTGTTGGGTTGGGTCAGGGTACATTTTAACATAAGTAACTGTTTTTAACATAAGTTTCGGGTTCCAGGAAAACAGAACTTAAACTTACAGAAAAGCAAAACTTAAACTTATCAGGAGAGAAAAACTTAAATTTAACCTTTACACACAGCACTGCATTTTTTGAAGGCTGTTTTCTTAACTGTCTATTTGTGTGTTCATTTCTTCCATTCATTTGCAGACATTCATTTGCTGCTCATCAAATTGCTTCTCCACATTTCCTAGCACCCGTTCAGCTCTATGGGCTGCGGTTCGGTCCTTGGGGTGTCAGTGAAGGTGACATGGAAGTGCACCCCCTCAAATTCTTCCTTCCCTTGTTTGGGTGAAGTACCCAGCCCTGCATGGAGATGGAGCCTCTAGGTGACTTGGTGAAGCAGAATTCCACCAACCTCCTGATGAAAGAGAGGAGGAAGGGCGGAGTCTCCCCCAAAGGATGTTGTTGGTGCCTGGGCCTGGGGGAGCACGCACCCCTTTGCCTGGTGTCCAGCTCCTGGGCTGACAGCTGCCGTGGTTCCAGAGTGCAGCCAGACTGCCACACCAGTCTGCTGGACCAGGCAGGGATGGGGATCTGGCTGCCACCTGCAATGCTAATGGATCACTCAGGACCCAGATAGGGCAAGAGGCTGCGGGGGAAGCCACCATCTCTCCACCCTGTCCTTGCTGGAGACGCTGGGCACCAGAGAGAGGCTGCTGCTGAGGCTGAGGCAGCAACACTGTCATTGGCTGTGTCAGCTGCTGCTGCTCGTGTAGCTGGCCCAGAAACCACTGCTCTGACCACCACAGCCGCTGCCACCACCATGACACTTCCCCTGGGACTTCAGTGCGCTGACAGCTACTGCTGTTTCTCTCCTGCTCCCAGCTGCTGCTGCCAGACCCCGTGTGGATAGTGGTCCTCAAGGCTTGATAGGGCATCTTTGATTGGCCTCCTGGTGGTGACAGGGATCTCCTTCACCATCTCATGACAACTGAAAGCAAAGAGCCGAACTAGCATGAAGGGGCAGGCTCTCGAAAACACAGTCAGCTATTGTTTGCAGAATTTCTGCACTGTGGGGACAAGTGCATGGAGTACTGCATATATGGCATACGTTAAGGGTGTCTGTGTGGCAGGCCACTCCCCCATGCTAAGTGCCAGGTGTGTGAGCCGCAAATCGCTTACCCTGTAGGCACAGCCTTGGGCGTGAGGCCACGTGTTGCAGTCCCTGACCTTGCTCCACGGTGCACTCCTCAATTGGTTGCTGCAAGGGGAATTGGCCAGAAATTGCACTGTGGCTGCCTGTAATCTGCTTAGCTGCTGCCTGAGTAGATATACATGGTAACTGTGCAATAGAATCAGCCCTACTTCCTGCTTGGTCTCTGGAAGTCTTGATTAGTGACTCCACAGCTACACTCTCCTCTGCCCGGTTCTGTGGACCTCCTCGTTGGACGAGAGAGAGCCCACACTCTGCACTATCGTTCTGCAGAATGAGCCCCCCAAAAGTCTCATATGCATGGTATTGCTTGGCCTTTTTGTGATTTACACTTTGAACGGAGTGGAGTAGCCCTCAGCTGAGCTGGTAGCTCTAAGGTCTGGTAACCTGACAGCTGGTAACACTGAGAGGGGCCAACATTTGCAGCTGAGAGCTGGTAACACCATAGGAACTAAGTTTCATTTTTTTATGATCTAAAGAGCCCTCTATTGATTGCTAACACTACTGTGTTAACCACAAATATTCTAAGTTGAACTTGTTATGACAGTGTAACTTAGCCTATCCTGACTAAATGATAAGGTCCTCAAAATGATAGCTTGTTTGCCATCCCCAGCACCTGGAACAGTCCACCCAACAAACTTTTGTTGAGTGAACAAATAAAGATGAAATCTTCCTTTCTGTTCTATAACAACAAAAGATAAAGGGTACCAGCAGAATGTAACAAAGATGGAAGCCTCCGATGGAGGGAAACTTTGCTTTTTAGTTTGTAAATTGGAAGAGACTATGATTACAAAAACAAAAACAAAAAAGTTTTAATCTGAGAATCTAAACACTAAAAGCAACAATGGAACAGTAGAATGATTTGATGAGGTTGTGGATCCTGGGCTATGAATTGGGATGATGGTATCCTCCCGTGCACTAGGCATAGCGTGTCATGGACTGTGATGGGCAATCCAGGAATGTCACCTGCTTTCCCTGGAGACTCACAGATTATGACAATTCTTGGCCATTTATGTTTGGTTGATGGCCATTGTTTAAAAGGGTGGAGTCCTAATTGTGCACATAGCTTTTTAGCCCATTCCTTAACCATGTAATGGAAAAAACAAATAGTAGTTTGAATCAGGGTACTGGGGGTAGGCTAAGTGTATTTTTTTCTCTTTAATTGTTTTATGTTCAAATCTACTTTGGAAGTAGGGATTAGTGGAGAACAGGTCAGGTTTGAAACTTTTTGACTAAAAGAGTTTATAGTATAAATTGTGTTATAATACTAATGATCAATAGGAAAAGAGAAAGAAAAGGAGGAAAAGAAGAAGAGGAAGAGAAGAGGGAGGAGGCGAGGGGGGAATGAGAGACATCTATAATCACCACCCATAGATACTACAAAACATGCAGAGGACACCCTTGGAAATCCTGAGCCTTCTCTTCTCCAGGGTGAGTATTTCCAGTTCCATCAACAGCTCTTCAGGCAGAAGTGTTGAGGAGCCACCAAGGTGTCAGCAAAGAGCAGATGCTCCTGAGCCATGGTCCCTGTGTCCAGCACAGTGAGACCGTGGCCAAGTGGCATGACTTCCTGAACCTCAGTTTCCTACTCTCTCACTGGGTCTATGTCCTTGCTGTATAGAGCTGTTGGGGGGTGGGTAAGGGTGGGGAGAGAAGGTAGAGATACCAGCCGAGACTTTCGCCTTCTCCCCATTCGACTAGGGGGCAAGTGTTATTTATCAGGGTGGTGCCTCTGGGTCTCTCGCCATGGATGGGTCTTGAGTGGCTCTGAGGAAGACAATTGAAGTGGCACCCCCTTTCTCCACAGAAAAGCCCGCTTCACCACGGCTGAGTTTAGGACTGTCAGCAAAAGAGTCCAATGTAGATAAACTTCCTATTTTCATGTGGCCCTGTTTACTTGGCCACTGGCTGAGAAGATACCAGCACTCCAGGTGCTGGGCACCCCCTTACTAGCTTTTCACAAATGTATCCAGTATAGCACTTTGAAGAAATGTGCAAACAAGGCCTCTGGCCTTGAGCTGGGCTTCACAGAAATATCTATGTTTTTAAGATAAGTTACAAATGGGCTCCATGGTAACAGCTGGCAGGGGAGGAAAGAAAGGGGAGAAGAAGCTTTCCCCTTCTCAGGTGTTGTCCTTGAAGGGTTAACTTGAAAGAAAAAGCGCCTTTTATGTGAACTTCTGCAGACTGTGAACTTCTGATCCCCTCCCCTGACATGCTGGGTATAAAACCCTGAAACTCCCTGAATTCGGGGTTTAGGGGATTGATTGATTACAGCAAAAGCTGTGCCCTCTGAACCTGGCTGCAGCCAAATAAAACTGTTCCCTGCTATCTTCGGTGCCTTGACTCGTTTGTCCCTACAACACAGTAGGATACATCATCTTAGATTAAGATGTTGCCTTTTTTGTTAATATAGCTCCAAACTTCTGGGCTGGGGCTGGGGGTTTACCTCAGGGGTAGAAGTGCTTGCCTAGTTTGTGTGAGGCCCTGGATTCAATCTCCAGGACCACACACACAAAATAAATAAGTAGTAAAACGTCTGGGTTGATTCATCCCACAAAACTGGTTCATATGAAGCTTGTCATCATTGAAAATTACATAATTTCATAAAGGATGATGACATGAGGTAGAGGAGAATCAGAATAACAACAACAAAAAAGCCCCACTAGTGATACCATTTAAACGCATTCACTTCTTCCTTTACTCCACAGATATGTATTAAGCACCTACTATGTGCTAGCCATAGTTCTGGCCCTTAGTTTGAACAAATCAGTATGCCAAATTAGCATATGTTTGGGTGGCATCCTCTGAACTCCTTGAGTGGTATTGGGGAAATATAATTAAAACCACAATCTCCCAACTCAGCAAAATAGTTTAGTTATTGAATAAGCATTAAAGCAATTTGTTAAGAATTTGCAAAGATAGAAAGGAAGTGTATCCCCTTATATATCATCAATTATAACCCCTTCATATATGTTTTCAAGGTGAAAAATAACTAGCCCTCAGTAAGAGGACGTAACAACATCATTTGTCACACATACTTCCTCCTGACTGATATGGGCTGAATCCTGGGATCCTCCCCCACGCCCTTCCCAAATCCATATGTTGTAGTCCTAACTCCCAATACCGCAGAATATGTCAAAATAAAATTTAAAAACCCCACAATGGCTGAGGATGTAGCTCAGTGGTAGAGCACCCTGGGTTCAATCCCCAGCACAGCAAAAGTAAATGAATAAACTGAACTCTGAAGCAGGCCACTTTTTAAAACAAACCAGGAAATTCAGAGTCACCAATCAAAATGGGCCCAATTTTCCCAACCCTTCTATAGCCCTATATTGTAGAATGAGGTGTTGCCCGATTCTAGAAGTGCAAATAAAAGCCAACCAAGACCTTTAAACTTTACAACCTTTGCTTTAATTTCCTCTTTTGACACCTGCCACGGGAACTAGGAGATGGGGGCCAGTTCCTTTAATGGTTGCATTTTAAGCAAAGACTTTTCCCTGCAAGTCTCCAAAATTTGCATTTTAAAGAGATGACTCCCAGACCCTAGAGAAAGACATTAGTGGCTCTTAAACCAACCAGAGTCTTCTCTGGCTTCTAAAAGGTGTGTTCACACATTTCAAAGAGAAAGTGTTGGCAAAGACAGTTTTCCAAAGTAATCGATCCAATACAAGGCGGGGAGATCTCTTGCATTATTTTCAACAGGAGGATTATGCTTGTTACTTTTAATTTTTAAAATTGGCCCTCAGGATGTCATGGCCTGAGTTTTGTTTTAGGGGTTTCATCTGTATTCTCAGTGAAGAGCGAATCACAGGGGAGCAAGACTAGAGCAAAGATGTCCACTTGGGAAGCATGGGATGGTGCTCAGGCGAGGATGTGCTGGGGAAATGCAGAGAAGGGCACATCTTTCCTGAGAGTTTCTGAGGTCCTGGTCATGAAGGAAAGCAGTGAGGCAAGAATGACTCAGCAGCTCTCTGAGGATGGTGCCATGTTGGCAAAATGAAGAATTCTCTTTTGGAGGTAAGTGTGAAGTTCCTGTTCAGAATCCAAGTTCATATGCCAGGGAGGGAAGTTGGGTCTCAGAGTCAGGAGCTCAGAGTCAGGGCTGGAGACTTTAATTTGGCAACAGAAGCTTGTGAGGGAGGAGAATTGAAGTGTGTGGGATCCAGGAAATCAGAGAAGAGAATGTTGGGAGGAGGTGGGAAGAGGTGGCTGAGAGTATGTTACAAGGACCTAGAGTCTGCTTTGCTAAAAACACCGAGTCTTTGCTTTGACCTCAAGATGCCCAGTGGGTAACGAAAATGAGGATGAAAATTTGGCAGCTCTGCTTGCATTTTGCATCTGTCTCCTTTGCTCTGAGTCATTTTCACCCACAGTCACTTTGGATTCTGGGAACAGATCTGATTGATAAATAGCTTGTGATGAGTGGAAATTACACCCCAGGCAACAACGACTTTCTTATCTGCTGACAAGGCCCCTCTGGACCAATCCTGAGATGATGATCAACTCGACTTCAGTTTGACCAAGACTGCTTGACTGTGCATACTTCTGGCTCTCTACCATATATGACCTGGGAGCTCATGCCAGTAACCCAGGATTATAGCTATGTTGATTCACATTCCTTTCCTCCCTTCACCACTTGTTATGGTTTAGATATTAGCTGTCCCTGCAAAACTCATGTGGGAGACAATGAAAGAAAGTTTAGAGGTGAAGTGATTGAGTTATGAGAGCCTTGACATAATCAGCACGGTAATCCCCTGATAATTAATCCGCCATAGGGATTAATTTGGTGGAGTGCTTTGATTACCAAGTGTCAAGGGCTGTGTTGTATGTGAGCTATGCACCTTGGAGCGATATGAGGGGACGAGTCTGGTGCAGCGCACTGATTGGGCTGTGCGACACAGGTGTGCCTTTCCTCTTGCTCTGCCTGTGATCCCACACAGCATCTGAGATGGGTGACTTGCCAAGATGTCAATCAATCTGCTGACCACAAGGCATCACAAAGCAAAACTCCACCTTCGAAATATTATCCCCTGCCTTATTTGGCGAAG